GGCTTTCAAACCTGCTCACTGCTGGGATTTACTTTTTAACCCAATATTTTACCTTGAAGTAAGTTACAAAGGATAATAGCAGTATTTCAAATAAGTGAGATTTATACAATTTTAAGTAAATACAAATTAAATTCTTCTTTCCTTATAAAGCCATCAGAATAGATCAGATTTGCAGTTCTCTCTCTCTCAAAAGAGAACTTGAACTTTCTTATTAAAAAATCTGGAATACATACTTTGGCAATACCCCAAATCTGCAGTTTTCATTTTTTTCACATTTCAAAGAATCGGCAGCCTGTCCAAAGAAAGTAGATATTTATCCCACACAATAATTTTGTTAAATTAATTTTTTTTTTTGTTGACCTTTCAATAAACACCAAGTTAGAGATTTTTTTTCACTTGTCCTGGCAGAAGGAGCCAATCCTGAGATCCGCTGTGGTACCAGACTCACATGAAGGTATCACAATAAATCATGTGTACTGGACAGAAGCAGACAAAGACCCTTCGATGCTGAACTGCAGCCTCTGTTCCTTGTTATGGGAACAAATAATATGTAACCATAAGAGGATGGGTAAGGAATATAACAGTGTTCAGACAAGCAGAGATGCAACAGAATCTGAAGGTCAGACTTAAATCAAAGTGTTCACATATTCAAAAATTATTGCCTTTGTGGCCCATATTACTGAACAGCCACTGCTCTCACTGGTAGCAGAGTGTGTTTCTGATGAGCAGCAGCCCTAAACACAGTCATTTTAATAGCTTAACATAGGCTTGAAATTTTCTGTTTTCCTTTTACAGTGTTTAGAACCATATCAAAAGTCTGCAATTACCTACATACAGAGAAACATTAGAAACAACATGTTTTGAAAAAAGCAAAAGTGCATTTATTTTTAAAGGATAGCAGCCAGAGAGAAGGAGCATTTGGGGAAAATATTTTTGCCAACTCCTGCTTTTGCCTGCAGAGCAAGAAGTGTAATTGTTTGGAAAGATGCAAATGAAATTGAGTAGCTCCCACACCCTGGGGTGCTGGAGAGGTGGAAGACCTGGGGCTAGATAATCACTCACTTCCAAATTTCCTGTCTGAGAGGTGATAATGAGACTTTACTTGCCACAGAAGCAAGTGCTAGTTGGAGTTGTATATATTTGAATGGCACAGACCTGGCTGTTCACATTGTGTCTGTGCACAGAAGAGCCTACTTTGCACAGCACTCTGCTTTTCACCTAGGCAAGTGTATAATGAGGCAGATTTTGTTGACACAAACCTTGTACTCAGTAAAAACAAAGGAAACGGAATACTAAGCTACAGAAGATCCTGGTTTTCAATTGTAGTGGGTTTCTATCAGGATAACTTCAGTC